CATGGATGAATAAATATGGATGTACTTATGTGTTCTCAATATTTAAATTGCAATGCTAACAAAATAAATTAAGTTCTGACGATGTCAATTTGACAAGCACTGATTAAGTCATTATTTATGTAATATAAAAGGAGCAGTGTCTTATTAAGGTCTTTCTTGGTGTAGTTTCTTACTGATTCTGCTAGTGAACATTGGACATAATTTGTAGGGCTGTGTAAAAGTTAAATGTAGTAAATCTTAATTGAAGACAATTTAATCAAATTAACTTTCTGAATTTGATTGATGAACATAGAGCAAATAATCCCACTGAATCGTATTTCTTGAATCATCAAACAGATTTGGAAATCAGCTTTTAAATTAAATAAATTTCCGTGAATTGATTCAAGTAGTTGAATCAGGCCAAAATGGCAATTCAAATGGAATCACTGACTTGAAACTGATTGGAGTGATCTGTACATTCCTGATGGTTAGGATGGGCTTGCTTTTCAAATCTTGAAAGGAATAAAGATATTTAGTAGTAAATGAGAATACTACACAATATCTGAAATATTGATTTTCTTTTTGATTTAAAAAAGAAAGAAAACAAATTCCACTATGAATCTGATATGGTCAGCAACATAATGGCAAATGGAAGATTAATTGTTGCCTTATCTAAACCACAGTCAACATTTGAGATTCCTTGTTGAGCTTTTCCACTTGTATGAAACTTCTCCATCCTCTTACCTCCTATAGTTTTAAGAACAGAGACCAGGATGAACTGTGATAAGATTTATGGACATGTGTCTATGTATGTGTCTTTCTCTCTCTATGAGCTTTTCACATGTTGTCACTGGTATCCCTCTTTGTTTTCCTCTCCCAATCTTACAAGAGTTTGCTAGCAAAAAAGGCAGATACTTCTTTTGGCAGTAGATAAATCTCAGCAAACCCTAATGCACATGTTGATGAGGAGCATGGAAGTAGTATATAAATGCATCAGGAATCTGTTTGGGTATTAGACATGCTTGATGTTGTGCCCATATGTCTGCTTATTTCCATACTAAAGACATTTACTGTATACATTGGCCACCAGGGAAAAGGGCTGTCTACTCTTCAGCAGTATTACTGGAAGAGCAGTATTGTATTTGTATTCGGTGGAGTCTTCCGTTTCCAGTAGATGCACAGATCTTCATTCTGTAGCCCCGCATCCCTGAAAGAGTTCCTCAGACTATCTTTCACCACCCGGCCAATTAGTGAATCCTTCTCTGCAAATGCATAACTTGCTACAGTCGAAGCAAAGAGACTGCGGATCGCTCTCAGCAAAGTGAGTGATCATTAACAGCACCGAGGCTGGATAAAGCTTACAAATGAACAGCTCTAAGTGGAGCTGCAAATGCAGCGGCTTTTTGTAATTCAAATGAAGCTAATAGCATGGGAACAAATTGCGGTTCATATTAGATTAACTTCTTCGGAAAGATATAAATTGAGGAGAGTTAAGATTGCCTGGAGCTGGGCTGACCAATGAAGGGCATGCTTTGAAATACAAGATATTCTAGGAGGTGGGACTAAGGGGATAGAAAATCAGGCAGAACAATTTCTTCATTATTCAGGACAAGTCACCCAGCTTTGGTTTCCCGCAATTTCTCTAAATTAAGAAAAGGCCAAACACTATCAATTATAACTATATCATCATTTCCCAAACCATCGCAGAGAGAGAAACTGGCTTTGGTTTGGCAGGGCTCCACATTTGTTTTTCACAAAGAGGTGAGCAGATTGATGTATTCCCCTCTTTCATAGGCAACCAGTAATAGGATCCCTGTGGATTCTACCTTCCCAAACAAGAATGCCTAATTAGGGTCTCTTAATAGTGACAAAAGAAACAGATCCAGAACAGGTTTCCAACTTACCAAACGGCTACAGGGTAGACAAAGAATCTGCAAAAATCCCAGTAAGCGGTTAAGGGAAACAGCACATACTTTACATCCAGTAGGATTTGATAAAAATCCAGGGATTGGGCAGATAGTCCCGAGCAAGAATTATGGGTGAAACCTGATTAGAGAGATCCATAACTGATCAGTGAACATATGATTGAATGGAATAATGCAACCTTTTATATTCCAACAAAAGATACTGGGAATGTGGCTTTTATTACTCTCCCAATCAAAACCAATTTCTATTTATTAGGGCAGCTGCAATTTTCAAGTCTCCAATTAAATCAGCTTGGTTCTCTCATTACAGCCCTTCTACTGGTAGGGAGGGGAAGAGATATTTCTTCAGATAGTTACTCAGTATTTAAACTGGGATGTCTACCAAGATGTTTCTGCATTTTATTAGGAAAGGATTGGGGTCTTCATAAAAATAAAATTCCCACTTTTTTTTCTGGGGTTGAATGTAGCATTTGAAGGTCTCCTTACCTAATTTACCCCAGTAACAAGTTTGTAAAGAAGGTTTGGATAAGAAAAACCAATTGGCTCAAAGTCATCCAATGGATTTCTGTGGTTAGCATAGATCCTGTCCCTAATTCCCCTCACTAATTACTATACCACATTGTCTGTGATTTCAACTATATATTAGTTGTGTCTCAATGGATTTAATAGAAGTAATGAAAATTGCATTATTTTTTAAATAACATTTTGTTGCCTTTTGGGCATTTTTGGTGAAAAGGCAGAGCATACACAGTACATTCAATATATTAAAACACAAGCAGACCTTCAGTTTTGCATTATGATAATTTTAAGAGTGGTGTTTTGTTTAAACCAGTTGCCAAAGATGGATCTCTTTCAAAGCTTCACAAAATTTAGAACTCCCCTCTCTCTTTCTCTGGAGTACTTCATCCCTCCAGTCCAGTGACCACTTGAATCAACCCTGAGAAAGTTAGCAAGATAGGGCTTTCCTTTGTTGGTTTTGCCTGCTGTTAGCAGCATCTATAAATTGACTCTAAAGGAAGATTCATTAAAGCTCAAGCAGGAACCCCCCTGGCAGGTTTCACTTGTTCTGAATGTAGCATCTGATTCAAAAGCTGAAATACTACATTACATGCTAGTGGTCACTAAACTGATTAAGAGCTGGTTTATCCATAGCACTAAAAAGGGCTATCTGCTAATACTAAATGCCATTTACCCAGCTCTGATTTCCCCGAATGAATATTTATGCCGAGTGATGAGTACAGCACTATCAAATAGGTTTTTTGCTCTCTGTTCTTCAGAGCTGCCGCGATTATTCAACCACATTATTCTGGGATTCAATTCTTGTTTCTATTAAGCAAATCTGCAGTGTTCATACAAAAATTCACGATTGCATTTTTATTCTGGATTCCTTTTTTTGTGGGGGGGGGGAGAAGATGTCTTTATTTTGTACTTAAGAACAAGCAGGCAGTTTTAGTTGGTACTTTCTCATATGTTTATGACCGTGTTTATATAAAGTCTGTTCTGATTTTTTAATGTAAAATTCCTGGTGTTTTGTTGCAGCTTCTATAAAAACAGATCACAATTCTTTATGATCTCTCCCCCCCTCTCTCTCTTTCCTATGAAGTTAAAAAAATCTTGAGCATTAAAATGATGTTGTAAAAAACCATTAGCACCGGTACAATAGAACTGAATTCAGTTCCAAATTGAAAGAGGCAAAGCACAATAGAATGGAAACGGCATTTGCATAGGAGTTTGCATGGTACAGATGTTAACAAATGATTGCCTGGACTGTAAGAGAGCTAGAACGTAGCTCCAACATCCAAATGTTTAACAGTTCATGTGTGTACTCCAAATCTCCTCTTTATTGCTGATGCTTGGGGTGGGATTTGGGAGAGGAATCTAATAAAACAAACAAACAGAGACAATATAATAATTGCTTGGTGGCTTAAATCTATGGTGCTTAGATGTTGGCTGTCCTACCCCTGGCATGACTTGGGATTAGCACCACTGGATCAGCTGTTTCTGAGTCAAGAAGAAGATATAGAAGCCCAGCAAAGTACTAGGATTCACCATCAGATTTTAACCGGCTGATGAATTTGTATGCTGAAGCAGAAGGCTCACACCTTTTTTCTGGGTAGTTTCATACAGGGCACAAATGCTGATTTCATGAATAACCCGTTCACACAATTCTTTTTAAAAAAAGCAATAGGGGATCAGGCAGAAAGACATCATAGGACATTGGATTGGCAGTGTTATGATTACGGCTTTAAACATGGTCCTCTGTTGCTATATCCCTTCTTGACTCCCCCGAGGTTAAAGCAGTGCCAACCCTTTTAGAATTTAGAAACCTACTTTGCTCTACTGTTCTGGATGTTTGGGAGGAGTAAAGTGGATATTCTGCTCCTTCTGTAGGTTTTCTTTTTCTTTTGTTGAGAGAGTGTTTCCTTACTGCAGTGGGATAAATTATTACTAATGCTAGCATTATGTGCAGTTTCAAAGCTTATGATGAAGTATATGCTGCTTAAAGAGTGAAGTGGTTTATTTGCTTGAGTAACAAAGAGAAGAAAATATAACCGTCTAGAAATAAAGAATCCCGAACCAACAAAGATATTTTGTGTTCCACATCTGAATGAAGAAGACCATTCTTCTACTCTGAACTTTGTTTCTAATTGTTCCAAATTGTGTTTTTTTACATCAGCAGTATAATTTAAAAGGCAGTGTGTGTAATCATTGTTGCTCTTGTTAATCAGTTGCAAGTCACCAATTTTTGCAAGTTTACTGAAAATTGCCTGAAGTCTTCCAGTTGTTCTGCCTCTGCTGTCTGCCAGCTCTTATGCTAGGTGGATAATTTAGGGTGAGCTGTGAGTGTTTGTTGCCTTTCCATATAAACAAAAAAGAGTTTTAGCATCGCCAGGAAACATTCATAATTTTTAATTCACACCTGTAATAAAATTGCATTACATTTTTCATAAAATAAATGTTCCAGTTTATATACAGAAAAACAGACTGTACAGAGCTTTCCCCCCAACTCCCCCCTCCCAACTCACAAACATACAGGCAAATGCAGTGCTCAGCTAAGCAGGCACAACTGTACATCTAAAATTGTAACTGTTGTGTGTTATTTATGTGTGTGTGTGTGTGTGTGTGTGTGTGTGTGAAGAAATACTACAATGTAGATCGTCCTTTGGGGACCAAGGATTAAAAAAATATTGCAGGCAAGCTGAGAGACGCCCTTCACTGCTAGCTGTGGCTGAACGTCCATTCCACAGTGTTTCAGCCAAACTGGATTTGCTATTGAACTTGGGGCTCAAAGCTTCCATTCAGTTGCCCCTCCTCATAGTCCATCTGACACAAGATCATATTGTTCTTCAGGAAAAACTTGTCCCCCACGCAAAATCTAAAACACAATAAATAAACAAACCATTAGAAGCTACTTTGATAAATCCCAGAGCAAGGGAATGAAAACATCCTGTGTATTTGCACAATGTTTGCTTCTCCTTCCTATTTGTGAAGAGAGAGAGAGAGAGAGAGAGAGAGAGAGAGAGAGAGAGAGAACATTTACGTACATCATCTTTATTTCTTCTAATTATTTTTTTGCTTAATGACAGATTCAGATGATTCTATTTCACCTTCAGTGGTTCAATTATTATTTTTTAATCATTTAAGAAGTCTGTAAAACATAACCCACATTTGATCTACCATTAAGTCTGCCTCAGTGGGAAAAAATGTCAGTTATTTAATTAATTGATAAATATTTATCTCCACAGAAGTGCATGCTTGTTTGCACTGCACCATTTAGCATTTCTACCTTAGGCATCAAAGGGCCCTGCTACTCGACAAATAATAATCAGAGGGAGAACATTTACCCTGGAATTTTCACATCTCAAAGTCAGCTTTGTTTAATTTATTATCTTCTAAAATGTCAGTATTTTGGATACTTTTGACAAAATATCTTGAACTTCCAATTTAAGACTATCTCACAAAATCTTCTTAGTTCCAGGCTGAAGTCTAATTAAGAGGAGGCAGCATGAGTTCTGCCAAGGAACAGGACCACGGACAGTTCATTATGGATCTGGAAAGAGTCTCACTACAAAAGATTCAGGCCAGAATAAGGAGTCATATAGACGTTTAAGGGGAAATGTGGTATCTGCCAAGCTCAATTCCACTCAATCTCTTATTTTCCCAATGATAACTTCAATTCTGTCCTGCACTCACCTTAATTTGGGAGTTCATGAGAAAAAAAAACATCATGTAAAAATTGTATATAAAACAGTTTGTGTATTTGCATGTGCATTTATCAAAAGGAAGTATTCCTGTATTTCTTTTTATCAGTTGTACTGATCTGTCATTAGTTAACTTCCCTTTAACACTCTGCATACTATTTACAGATAAATCTGTGCAACCATAGAAGTTGGCGTATTCCAGTAAGTGAAAATACCAGATTAGGTACATTCAGATAAGGTACCAACTAGTCCTGCTGGCAGAATTGATTTACCTGGCTTCGTCTCATCTGAAAAACCTGCTGGTGCTTAAAAATGGATGGACACCTGATAGAAGGGTAATTTTGCAATGCTGGGAGCTCAAAAAGTTAGGAAATCAAAACAGGCAGGGCGATTTTCTCAAATTATGCAAAGCAAAGGCTACGCTGACATTTCTTTTCTCACAAGAGTCATTTACAGGATGGTATCTTCTGAAATGATTTATAAACCTTGATTCCTGCCCCTTGCATTGTCTGAGCAGTCGCACACTTGGGAAAGGACACATAGGGCACTGAGTTCAAATCTATGCTCATTGAAGGAAGGAATACAAATTAACATTTTATATTTCTTCATAACACCCCTTTTATCAAGGCTAAGCAGAGTCAGTGATTTTTTAAAAAAAATATCCTTCTAAATTTCATTTATCTGTCCCATGATCACCATCATTGCCTTGTGTTGTTTATGTTTCAGGTTTTCGAAATTTTTCCTAAAACAAAGTACCCCAAAACTGGGCCCAGCTTTTGAGATATGGTATGACAAATGCAGAATAAAATGCAAAATTTTGCTTCCTACTATTTGGATGTTACACGTCTACTTGTGCATATGCTCTTTTTAGCAGCTCCAATTCAGAGTTGCTCATATTCAGCTCTTTATTCTTCTCTGCATATACTACTGCAGTATCCTGCCTGATATTTCCTCATTCTATTTCTGTATATTTGATTTCTTTCTTTTTAAATGAAGAACTTCTCATTGGGGTTGTCTCTATTAAAATTCCATTCTATTGGTTTTACCCCCAATTCATTAACCTATCAAGCATATATTGAATTTAATTTTGCTTTTCTATATAGTATCATCTTGCTTATGCTGTGGTCTGCCATGTGCAAATCTAATAATATCCTGATTAATAGACAATGACATGCTCTCTCAGTAAATAAACAACCCGTAAATCTATCTTATGTCATCAAGTTCTGCTAGTGGTGGAACTATTGTTTAAAACTAAAAATTCTTCACAATACCCCCATCCAATTTGACCTAAAAAGCATGATATAGTATTACTGAGGCACTGTGAGAGATTTTGTTCAAAGCTTCTGCTGTCTTGGCTCACTCCTTCTTTAAATTTTAATCTATGTCTACATAAATTCTTATGAATAGAGGCTGTTTCACATTATATATTCATTGAACGCTGCACAAACATAAGCACCCTGTCTTGGTTGCCTTCTCTAATTACTTCCTCTGACATCCAGATGTCCATTTAAATGAATGATGGGTTAGAATTAGAGTCCTCTACACTGGCTTCCTCCATTCTGGCACTTCTAGATGCATTGAAATGGCAGCTTCTAAATCTGGAAGGCACCAGATGAGGGAAGAATGCTGGATATATTGTCTCTCAATACTTTAAACAAAGACATGGGGGCGGCTGTGTGTGTGTGTATGGATTGGAAGAGCCAGTTTTTTTCCCCATCCCATTCCCAAATTTGGTGCATCTCAAGTTAATGATTGTATATTTGAGGTGATACCTAGAAAGGGGATGGCAAGATATGTATTACATGGGACCAGAACCATAATTGTTTACTCTTTTTTCCCAGCATAAGAAGGGTGATGATGAATGAGTGAATGGATGGATGGATGATACAAAACTAGTTATTTAAGGAGCTGCTAATGAGTCATGCAATGGCATTGAAGTATTCCTTAAATATTAGGGCAAATTTTAGAAGCCCAAACAGTGTGTGTGTGTGTTTACATACATACATACACACACATATACATACATCAAAGTGCATAGACAAATTTAGCAACATAGTACTACTTCTACTTTATATCTCATTATGGATGATTTGAATGCCTACATTTGTTAGCAGACATGTACCCTCTGCCATCAAGCCACACACTTCATTCAGACTAGGTTACTTGTCCTAAACTCAAAAGACAATGGGCCAGGACTCTCATGAAATCGCTGACTTTTCTTTCAAATTGTATTTCAAATGTTATTGGACCTAAATGGAATTCAGATAAAATTAGATGAACAATATGCTCTTCCGTTCAGTTTATATTGTGCCACACAATTATTGCCTACCCAATAGCCTGATCCTTCCACAACTCTGTGACTCACTGGGTTTGTGTCCTTTTGTCAGTGATGAAGTCAATTTTTGCTACTTTATTTGTAATTCTGAAAGATACATGGACCTTTCTTAGGAACTCTGTCAGCCTTCGACAAAAATGTAAAAAGGTTTGACACACAATGTAAAACTGAATGGAAGATCATACGATTCAACTAATTTTATTTGAATTTCATTCAGATCTAATAACATTTGAAATGTAATTTGGAGGGAAAAAAGTCACTGATGTCAAGGTAGTCCTGGCCCATTGCATTTTGAATTTAGGACAAATAATATTTTGTGGAGGAAAAAATGTATGTGTCTATAGAGTGGGAGTTGGGGATCCTAATTTCCTTCAAAATAACTCAAACTGTGCAGGAATACATAATGCATGTCAACGATATGGATTGAATGCATACATTTTTGCGCTTTGATAGAGAAGTAATGCATTACTTCTCAGTAAGAGATCAGGAGCAACCATATAACCATAAGAAAATATGTTTGCTGGCAGCAGGAAACAGTAACCAAAGAATCTGAGACCTAACAAAATGCTTTGGAAAATGCATTACATTTCCCTATCCAATCTAGTTTGCACACCGAAAGGGATTATATGTTCTTTCCATCTAAAAAATATTGATAAGGATTAAATGTTCCTATACTACCAAGCATATGAACTATTTCTAAAATAACTACAGGAAACATATTTTCTTTTCTCTCTTAATCCCAGTTTATATATTCTGCTGCTAACTGGGAGCTACAGTCCCCACAATTTTGAGCTGACTAAAGAACCATTATAAAGAAAGTAGGAGATATGGTTTCTTTTCACTTGAATGCCTAGAAAGGCTAATGCTGTTATACAGTTTTCCAAATGGAGAAAGGGAAAAATACAGAGAGTAACAGTTTTGTTTAAAAAAATGCATTATTTAGAATGAAGGAGAGTAAAGATTCAAGGAAAGAGATATGAAGGATAGAAATGTTAATTCCAAGGCCATCAAGAGAATGGGAGAATATCTATTGGCTTGGAAAGGCAAGAAGAAAAAGCACAGCATTTAAACTCTGGAATGATGACCTAGTATGGAAACTTTGCTTGTATATTACAATAAGAAAAACTTCCTTGTTATACGGCTTCCTTCTTATGCACAATTATGTATTATTAATATTTTGTTTCCTTAGGACAGTTTTTCCCCCCTCCTGGTGTTGGCATGAACTAGTCCAGTGATGGCAAACCTTTTGTGGCTCGTGTGCCAAAAGTGTGGGGGGGGGGAGCGCAGGGGGGTTGTGCATGGGCTTGCCACACCCATAACGCTATGTGTATGACCCCAGCGCGCATGCACGCATGACCCATTTGGTGCTCCCCCCCATTTTTGGTGTGCTTTTTTCACCCTCCCTTCAGAGACTTTATAGGAGCTTGGGGAGAGGGAAAACAGCCCCCTCATCCCCTCCAGAGGCCCTCCGGAGGCTTCAGCAGCTTCCCTGAAGCCTCCGGAGTGTGAAAAACCACCCATATGGGCAAACCGGAAGTTCAGGAACGGACTTCTGGTTTGCTCGTAGGGCCAGTTTTAGCTCACCAGAGCCTTCAGGGGCCCCCTGGCGGCTTCCCTGAAGGCTCTGGAGGGCAAAAAATGACTTTACGAGCAACCCAGAAGTGACTTCCGGTTTCCTCGTAGGGTCATTTTTTTGGCCTTCAGGGAAGCCTCTGGAAGCTAAAACTGGCCCTACAAGCAACCTGCAAGTGACTACCGGTTTGCTCATAGGGTCCTTTTTTGCCCTCTGGAACCTTCAGGAGATTTCAGGAGGGCAAAAAACGACTCTACGAGCAAACC